CGGCGCCCCGCGCCCAGTGCCCCGGGCCGTGAGTACCCGCGGCCCAGGGTGGTGCCGAGAAGCTGCGCCTGGGACTGCAGAGTGTTGGCCCGTCTCGGGAGCCGCTGCGGGCGGCTTCTGCCGAGCAGGGGCCAGGGGGCCTCGGGCCGCCGAAACCGTGAGCCTGGGGCGCTGCCCGAGAGGGCCACCCCTAAGCCGGACAGCCAGCCTCAGAGCTCGCTCTGTTGGGGGGACAGCCCCAGGCTTGCCTCTGCCCCCACTGTTGAGTGAGCCCTGCCAGGTGCAGTGGGTGGGCGTCGGGCGGGGCAGAGTTGGGTGGCCGGGCAGGGCCCCTTCCTTACTCACCCGCCTGGGGGGCTGACACCAGGCGACACCCGACTCTCGCGGCCTCCTGGGGAGGCCAGGGCAGGTGCAAGGCAGGCCCCTGCCATGGGCCTCTATCAGGGTCTGGGTGGGGTGTTTGGAGTTCCAGGCTAGGGCCTGATTGGCCAATTCAGATTAGAGCAGGGTTGGGTTGAGCCCCACAGGGCCCTTATCGGAGGGGTGCACCTGGGGGAGGGGCCCTGGCAGGCTGGGACACTGAGCACTGGGGCAGCGTCTGGGGGTGCTCCATGGTGCTGGCTCAGACCCCCAGGGCCAGCTGGAGGAGGGCTCAGGGGGCCGGAGCAGCCGGCTGGCACCCAGGGCTGGGTGTGGGGAGCAGGAGCTGGCTCTGTAACCCTCACCCGCTTTCAGGGGGCCAGTGACACTTGTTTCCTGACTTTTCCTTCATGCTCTGGCATTCGGGGGTCTCCCAGGGCTTTAGTGTCGGCTACCCACCCAGCCCAAACCAGCCGCTTCCGACGGAGCCCCAGCACCCACCCTTGCCAAGCTGCCTTCCAGCACCCGGTGCCCAAAGCAGCACCACCCCTCCTCGGCAGGCGGGCCAGGCGGCCTCACCTGGCTTCTCAGTGACAGTCCCCCCAAAAGCACCTAGCAGGCAGAAGCAGCACGGGCAGACACCCGTTGGATGTTTGTCCAGAGAGAAGCTGTGGCAGCGGGTGCTGGCCTGGCGGCTGATTCTACCCGGCATGGGGGCGCCCCTGGTTGCTGGAGGAGCCGTGGGGTGACCTGGGCTCACCTGGGCTCAGAACCGGGGTGCTGACCTCGCCCCCTCGTCCTGGCTTCACCTGGGCGTCTCCTGTCCTCACGCCCCAGCGCCTCAGCGTCACCGAGCACTGGGCACAGCTCCCAGGCGGGCGCGGCACTGGAGGGCAGGCCGGAGCTGAGGCCCAGGCCGCGGTGATGCCAGTCCCTGCTCACAGAAGCGCCAGCCTTGTTGCAGGAAACACCGGGCACGCACACACCCCACAGTGGCCCCGCATCCAGCGGGACCCGTGGTCCGATCGCTGGGGCCAGCACCACCTGTGGCCAGGCAGTGAGCGCGAGACGGCTGGTCACCTCGTCACGAGCTCCAGGGCCCCGACACCCAGCCCCGTGACGCAGGCACCACCCTCTCCCGGTTTCCTGGTGGGGGCCTGGCTCACCCCGGCCCTGGGCTGCAGGTGGACTCCATCCGAAGGCTGAGCTGGGCCTCCCTGCCGGCCTGGGGTCAGTCCCCGCTGTCACCACTGCAGCCTGAGGTCAGGCCCCGGCCAGGGAGTGACCACAGGGGGCAGCAGACCCTCCTGTTTCCCCACTGCCCCCCTCAGCAGTGGTTTTAGTGGATCCGCCTGTCCTGCTCCCCACTCTGTCTCTGGTGAGCCCCATCATCCCCTGCACCCCTGGCGTACACCCCAGTTCCATGCAAAAAGAAAAAAAATTTGAAAAAAATTGAGCTAGCAGAAGTCGGTATGGCCCCGGCGCATCCGGGCACTCCAGACACAGGCGATGCGGTCAGGCGGAGGGGCCCCCGGGGCCTCGGGGGAAGGAGGCGCCCAGCCTGTCTGAGCTGAGCGCGGTGCCCAGCGAGGGCCGGGACCGGCGCGCCTGTGGGGAGTGGGAGCCACGGCGGCAGCGGGACCTGGCGTGGCCTCCCTCTGCGGGGCCTGGAAGGCCCTTGCATGAAAAGGGCAGGCGCCGGGTCTTCGGGGGGCCGGCCCTCCTCGGGGTGGCCCCGGGCGAGGCCTCCGACTGGCGCCTCGACACTCAGCCCCAGGAGCTGCTGCGGGCAGGTGAGCGCAGTCGCTGGTGGGTTTTACCCCCGGCCACCCACGGGGGAAAGGGGGGGCACCGGGCCCCCGGGGCTCCCAGAGCTGCGCGGTGAGGGCCCACCAGTCCCCGGAGCGGTCATGGCGGGACCGGGTGTCCGCACGGCTGGCCAGTGTGCCCACCCTGTGGACGGCTGACCGGCACCAGAATCCAGGGCCCCTCTGGGAGCCACTTGTGACCGTCCGGCGCTGCCTCCCGTGGCTTCTGCTCCGTGGCCCAGGGTCCGGCGCCGTCCCTCCGGCCTGCTCCATCGACCTCCGGGCTGGGGCTGCCCCCAGCTGAGGCCTCTCGCTGCGGTGAGTGACCCGCTGCCGCGCTGCGGCCTCCTGGGCGGCCGGCGCCATCTTGGACGAGGGGCCTTCGGGGCTCCCAGACAGAGGCGACAGCAGGCGCTGCCCGGCCAGTGGACGCCCCGGCGCCCGAGCGGGGCCCCCTGCGAAGGCCACGCGCTCACAGCGAGCTGAAGGACAGGACGTCAGGGTTTTACAGGCAGGTGGACACGCGCTCGTCCTGCAGACCCTCGTCGCCCCGAGCGGGGCCCTCAGTGGCTTTTTTCTAGTCTGACGATTTCGTCGCTGGCTCGACCACGCAGCCTGCAGGGGCCGCGGTGGCTGCTGTCCACGGCCTTCCTGCCGCCGGGTGCCGGGTGCCGGCTCAGCCTCCTGGAGTGAATGGCAGGACCAGGTGCGAGGGGGGCCGCGGGGGAGACTCCCTGGCTCGAGGCGCCTGTGCCCACTGGCCTGCGGGTCAGGTCCTGTGCGTCCGCTGGGGCGTGGGCGTCGGCGGGGCGTGGCAGCCCCAAACCAGCCCTCGGCGTCCTCAGCTGTCTGCCCCGGGGCTTGCCTCCCGGCGATGTGTGGGGACCCTCTCGGAGCCTGTTGGTGTCCCGAGAGCCTGCTCGCAGCTCGCTGAGGACTCGGGAGAGGCAGTTCCTCAGGTTTTTCTCTCCTGCGTCACCCGTTTCCTCGTCGTTGCTTTTCCCGTTTGCTTGTTCGTGGGCCCTGTCCGTGAGGGCCACGGAGCGGCGTGGGCGGCCCTTGCCTCCCTGCCGAAGCGCTCCGCGTGGGGCCGCGGGTGAGCTTCGCTGGGTGCGTCCCCGAGGACGCCCCCCTGGTTCTGGATGTCCAGTTTGCCGGGGACCCCAGAGGCTGACTCCTGGTCCACCGCCTGGGGCCCGGGGGTGGGGGGCCGCTCCCCGCTTTCTGTGAAGCCACCCAGCCGCTGCTTAACTGAGACCAGCTTGTTTCCAGGGGGGACTTTTATCACCGACCTTGGGCTTTCCCTGCGGCCCTGAGTCACCAGCTCTGTGCCCACACAGGGCCCGTGCTGGGGCCCCCGCGCTCCGGCTCTGCCCCCCCCCGAAGCCCGCGCCCCGCCTTCCGCTCTCTGGCTGCCCACCGGCGGCGCACGCCCACCCGCGGGCGTGCCGGAGCCCACCTCGGGCTCAGCCTGCGGGGCTCGGCCTGTCTGCTGGCCTGTGGCTTCCGGCGCACTCGCGGGGGCCCAGGAAAAGGGGAGCTTCCAGGTTCCCTGCCCCGCCGGGAGGGTGCAGCTGAGCCCAGAAGAGAGGGGTCCGGAGAGGAGACAGGAAGGGAGCAGGATGGGGCCCGAGGGAGGCCCGAGGGCCCGGGGCAGGGACGTGAACACGGGCTCGGCCCTGTGCCGGGTGACGCAGACGCGGGCGAGAGGCCGTGGGAGGTGACCGTGGCTCATCTTGGTTTAGATTTGGCTCTGTCCTCCCAGACTGGTCTGGCCGTTGCTGGCCTTGCCGATGGGTCCTGCCAGAAGGGGTTTCAGACAGGGTCGGGCTTTCAGGCCTCGCTCCGGGCCGGTCCCGTTCGGGTGGACTTTCACCCCCGAGGGGACAGGCCACTTTGGGTGCTTGATTCAGAAACGACGTTCGCCGTCTTTTCTGTATTGCACACCGACTGTTAAAGTTCCTTTCCACCAAAGCTCTTTTGTCTTGATGCGGCAATGGCAGAACCCCGTGAGAGCAGGCAGGTTTGGGGTTTAGGGGTGCCCCTCTCCCCCTGCCCTGTAGCAACACCAGACACTTGACTTTTGCTTTGGATAAATCCAAACTCTTGGAACCGTGTTTTTTTTTTTTTTTTTTTTTTTTAAGATTTATTTGTGCATACAGAACTGGGGTACAGGCCAGAGATGCAGAGGGTGAGAGGATTCACCAGAGACAGAGTGGGGAGCAGAACAGGCAGAGCGACGAAGTACACTGCTGAGGGGAGCAGCGGGCGGGTCAGGAGAGGTCTGCCGCGCCCTGTGGTCACCTCCGGGGCAGGCGGGGATCGAACTCATGCGGAAGCGGCTTTGGCTTCTCAGTGCTGTGCTGTAACCCGCTGCGCCACCAGGGAGGGCCAGAACCGTGTTTTTTAATGCCAGGGTTTCTTTTTCTAAAGATTATTTACTTATGAATATAAGAATGAGGGCGTAGTGCAGGCCAGAGGTCTGGGGGGGCCGGTGAGAGGACTCACCAGAGGCAGAGTGGGGAGCAGAGAGGTGGATCCCCTGAAACACCGCAGAGGGTTGTGCACAGCAGGGAGACAGAATCTGCTGTGCCCTGGGGTCACTCCCTGGCCCAGCATGGAACTCCGGCCACTTGGCCTCCCAGCTGGGACCCACCCCTGGCCCCAGGGCGGCCCCCAGGTGTTTTCTCTGGTTGAAGTGTTTGGCTCACATCTGTCAGTGTTTGGAAGGCCAGGGTCACCCCCAGGCGGGGTGCCTCTGCTCACCATGGCCAGCACGGCCCCTCCCTGCTCACCCGCCCCATGTCAGCCTTCAGAGTAGGGGCTTCAGGCCCAGTGGGAAGGCTGATTTTGAGCCCCAACCCAGGGGAGAATCAGGCCTGTGGTCACAGTGCAGGAGGGGGTCGGCAGCAGTGTCCAGACCGCAGGAAGCAGTGCCCTGCCCCCACCTGCGCCCGTGAGCCGCTCTGCTACCCCACCCGTTAGGACTGGCATGGCCCGGGCCGAGGAGGGCACCCCACCCATTAGGACTGGCATGGCCCGGGCCGAGGAGGGCACCCCACCCGT